AACTTGATGTTATACAAATAATGCTACTTTTGTAATACTTAGTTTTGTAGTATAAAAGGGATACCTGAATCACATACATAGTTCTAAACAGCTACAAACTGACATTTATAAATTATTATTTTGTAACAAGGATTAATGGTAGCATTCTTACTGATTTAATAATATGACAAGTCTTAATTCTCGTATAAAAATACATTTTATTTCATTATTTTATAAAGTAAGCGATCAGTTATAATATCTACTTGCATTTGTGTAATAACTCATAACCATATTGGTCATTACAATAGTATAATTATGACTGGTTGACTTCAATAATTTGATTCATTTTAAGAATGTAAAGAAGATGTCATATAGTTCTCAAAGCCAAACATTTGGATACGGCATTTACTAGAAAAATTAAATTAAAGTAATCAGAACATGGCTACACTAAATAGTATTTAAAAAACAAACTTACACTTTAAGTTGATATAGTAAATACCAAGGATTAAGTTGATACAAGATTCTATAAAGGTACCTATTTCCACAAAAAATAAAATAACAAATATTTAATAAATTAATATTAAAAAATATTTATAAATTAACAAATTATAAAATACTTTTAATCATGACCGATGATTGACAACTGAATGTTGTTTCAAAACACTTTGACGTACTACACTACTCTTGATAACTAAATATTCAATACTGTTTATGAATTAATAATTGCTGAACAATGATACTTCAGAATTCAAAACCAATTTATAAAATTAGTGATATTGATTAACACCAAATAAAGAAATGATAAAACACAAACAATTAAAATTAATTATGAAAAATAATAAAAATTAAATGTAAATGATATTTTATCTAGGCATAACTAAACACTGAAAAAGCCACACACCTCACTTTAAAATTCATCTTATGAAGTGAACTGTCTGTTAACATTTATCATAAACACTTATTTAGTTTTAAATCAATTTCTTATTTACATCCCACGATATATATGATAATTAATATTGTAATATTTACCTTTCAATATCTTGATACGATTAGCTTCATATGATTTTAAATGAAAATTCCTATAAAAAAAGGGTACAAATAAACGCGGCCAGTGTAACACACTATACTATTATTATGTTAGCGGTTGATCGGTAATTCAGAAAGTTCAAAAGTATTCCGACCGAATTAATTCACCCAATCAATGTAAGCCTGTATGATCATAACCATAGAAAAGATTATGTTCAAAAACCTTCAGGATAACCATGGTGTGACGTTTTCACGTTGATAACGTAGTCTTACAACTATACGTTTTTGATTGGCTGTTCGGACAGTTATCCGTTATAGCTGATAACGAGATTTTAAAAGTTGTGACTGTTCGTATTTCCCATACATAACTGTAGTTTTGGTTGCATTATTTCGGAGTAAATTAAAAATTCCAAAACTAATTCAGGAGATGCATAGCACAACTCAATAGCCGGCTTATTTATGCGTCGAAACGTGCAAGAAAACATATACCAACCACCAACATTCATTGTACAGTATTAAAACACTGCAATGCAACTGAAGAGGATCCTAGGAAATAAATCTCTAACCTAACATACCTAAGGCCGTTGGTATTTAAAATATTTCAAAGATTACCTTAATTTTCAGTTTAATAATTAAAGTGGAGTACTACTTATACTGCTCATTAACATTTAGTATCGATTGATAATCGTAATTATTCATAATAGCCTTAAGCTGAAGCCACACAGAACGCTATGCGTGCTATGTTCGCTATACGAATAAAAAATAATTTTCTATATTGATCACGTAAATGGCCATACAGAAAAAGCGTACGCTACGTTTTGTTCTTAGTCAAGTTGCGACGCGTCGTCGAGTGTTTGATTTGTAGCAATATTTTTGAGCGATGTGTCGCGTTTGCAGGTTATTTGCAGGGACGTATTTTAGGGGGATGAAGAGGCGATCGCCCCCCTTGAATCCGTATTTAAGGAATTGATTATGTGTGAGATACACATTTCAAATTTTTTTAATGTGGATTATTTAATAACGAAATAAAATTACGCATGGCTGTGAATACTGAATTGGGCTTTTTGTCGGATCCATACTTAGTAAAAAATACAAATAAAACACAAGCGTAACTTTCAAAACATAGACATGTGTTAAAAAAGAACTACACAAAACTCGATTCTAAGTGGATCCGGCATTAGATAAAAAAAAAAAAGATTCACCTAATAACATAAATAAAAATATTTAATTATGATGAAAAATTTGTATTTATTATACGTACATATTATTAGTATTCGTCATTTGGGTAAGTATACATTATTTTCTATGAAAGTAAAAAGTCTGTAATTTTTGTTGATTTTTGGTTAGTATTAGAAGAATTTTCATTAAAACTACCTAAACCATTATGTGTAGGAAAAATGTTGTCAGAAACTCTAGACTGCTGTTGAACGTATCTTCAAAGTTCACGAATATAAGTTTGTGTAACTTTAACACCGTTAAAGCTTTGTCATTTACTTATACATTGTATTTTATAGTTTCAGCATTTTATACTTTATCTAATCTGTCATATATTCGAGTTAATGAATCGTAATAGGCGGTGGTTACCGAATAATGACTTCAATATACCGAAATACCTTAACACATAAGTCCAATACTGAATGATCGGGACTGAAAAAATAAAAATTCAACATACAGAAACTTTGAGATAGCGAGATTCCACTGTTTCTCTACACGCAAAAACATGATACAAGAAAGAATTTGTTGTCCAATAATCCAATTAAACTCGCAAATATGCCGGTGTACCATAAAAATATATTTTAATGCAATCAATACAAACTTGGTCGTTTTTCCAAAGAAAGTTATGTTTAAAAATATTTAGTCAGTTGCGGTTATAGAAAGCGGCTCACAAAATAAATATTCTTCAAAATAATTGTTAAGACTTCTATAATGTATAGATGCTATTATGCGTTATTTTAGACATTTATCAATTTGAATTGAACATTTTATTTGCTAAAATCACTTAATGTATTAGCTGTTTTAAAATATTTTCAGATGTAAAAAAAATCTATCTTTTCTTTAATAGTGTTATCCAAAAACAGAATTAATTATAACTTATTAGCTTTATCATCTAAACAGACGGTTCTAATTAGTGAAATAGCTGCTATTTTCATAAGTTATTTTCTTATGTTATGGAATTTTTTGACTGTGTCATTTTTATGATATTATAGGTTCAACAATAATGGGTTAGTAAATTTGGTTTTAAATAAATGAATAAGACATATATAAACACACAAGATGTGACATTTATAAAATGATTACCTTACGATAAGCCTTTTGTGTTCTAAAATGCAAAAGAATACGGATATAACATAACATAACTCAAGCCCCCCGAATAATTATAATATTGCAAGAAATTGTTTGAAAGAATTTACTTTCGATGGGGCTATGCCGGGGTCGGAAAATTTGTCCGTTATTGAGAAGTGTCCGTTAAGAGAGGTTTCACTGTACCACTAAATTAGGCTTGAGTTATGTTATGTTATATCCGTATATCCGTTATGTTATATCACACTTTGATTGTTATTTATTAAACAAAAATTGAAATCTTCGCAATTGTTCGATTGCAAACCTTGTTATTACTGTTTAATTAATTTTTTCCCGGGGGGGGGGGCAAATGCCCCGTCTGGCCTCCCCCCTTTGGGCGCCCATGCCTCTAAGTATAATCATTACGCTGCTTTATTTATTGGAATGCAATGTTAAATAAAATTGGTACATGATTATTTATTTGATATTTGTGTAGATAACTACACTTCTGGTGTTCATTTTTATACCCACAGCCTAAGTACAACGAAATCAATAAAAAATATTTTATTTCACTTATTAACATGATATTCATTAATTATTAAGTTAAGGTTCTAAATAATTTTACAGTCTTAAAATTAAATATTTTTTATTTAATACTAAGTTTCAAACATTTTTATTATTTTTAATCGAGTTTCAATAATATAAGCTAATAGTTTGAAATTTTAGTTTTACATTTTTTGTTTAATATTTTAGTACACAAGTTTTTTTTTTTACTAAGCAGTAAAAAATGAAAATCAATATACTAAAATATAAAAATAAAAATTCAAAAATATTATACCTAAAAAATTGAGTTTAAAAAAACTCGTAAGTTTATATCTTTTAATACCACAAACTCAAAACATATATATATGTTTTTTTATATATTAGTTAGGAAATGATGGAATGAATACAGGTGTAGGTGTTCAAAACTATTATATAGTGAAACTTGATACCTAAAATATTACCTGACATCCTCTACTAACACCTGTTGGAGCAAAAAGCGCACAAAATTAAGAAAAGCTACCTTTCTGTAGCTCACTATAAAGCAATCAATGTAATTGGATGATTTGGTTTGATTTCCTTGTCTCATAACTGGAAACTTATAACCAGGGCTCGGAAGTTCTATCAAATGCATATTTTTATTGGTTTATCCTAGAACATCCAAAGTATAATACAAATATGTTTCACACTTCTCTGATGTCATACACGAAATTTTATTTTGCTATTTTTTGCATATTTACGATTTTTACTGCTATTTTGCTAATTTTAGGTTTTTAGTGCTATTTTTGGGTATATTTTCACATAAATACATATTATAGGAGGTATTTTGCTAATTTGGAGTTATAAATGCTGTTAATGGGCATATTTAAGGAAATAAACACAAATTGTGCATGGACTGCACAGAGTCGCAGATGAAGTTAGAAATCAATTTCACATAGTTATTATGTGAATAAAGTAGTATAAAGTTATATAAATAACTTAATAAAACAGTAAATAAAGTTATTTCAAGTGTAAAAAAAATCTTTAGAAAAGCCCCAAGTCATTTACTTGTATTTAAATCGGAAGCACCAAACTTACCCTTACCTCCGGAGCCAATTATCACACGTTAGGGAAGTTAGATTAATGCAGCAATTTATTATTGTGAGAATTTCGGGATAATCCACCGTGTTATTTTTATGCTAGACAGAAACGATGCAGTTAGTATTAAAGATGCTCAAGATAACATCATAAAACCTGGATTGGAAAACAACTTAACGTATATTAAGTCGAACTTTGCCAAATTAACTTTGGCTATTGAACAATTACAACGGCAACATATGCCTTTATCGGATTTACTAAAAATAGTTCAAGATATTCAAAAATCATTTGAAACATTAAGTGGTCCAAATGGAAAATCTGTTCAAAATAAATTTAATCAGGTACAGGAAAAAAATCGTGGTCTCTTGGCGTTGGTAAAAATATCACAAGTTCTAACGAGTGAAGAGACACTCCGAAATTTAGATGGTCTTCCCGAAGACTTAAATTGTAACGACTTAACATTTTTTAAGTACGCACCCGTGACGTCTGTCGATGTAGAGCGGTCATTCTCGGCATACAAAACTCTACTATCAAATAATCGTAGATCATTCAAATTTGAAAATATAAGAAAACATCTTATTATTCAGTGCAATTCTTAAGGTAAATAAAATTAATACACTATACTATTCATTTATTAATAAATTTTTTTATATGTTTATGTTAACAGAAAATGTTCCAGAGCCTTACTTCTCAAATATTTACTGTTCATATTTTATAAAAAAAACTTGTATAATTTAAAAAAATTTTAAATAAAACATTTTTGTTAATGAAATTTAATTTTGCATATTTTCCAATTTTTAGTGCTATTTATAGCGCTTATATTAATGTTTTTATGTGCATATTTAAGCACTAAAAATGATTTTTTTTAGTGCTTTAACTTCCGAGTCCTGCTTATAACCTACCACAGGACTTCAAGTATTTTTACAATAATTACATTTTTTTTCATCAGTTACTTCTTTATCAATACATTGTCCAACATCATATGCATTCATATTAAGCTCATATACATTTTTTTAGCTACACATTAAAAGTAAATACATATAATTACAATAAAATATGATAATTTATATGCAAATATTATTAACTATAAATTTCAATTTGTTACTTTATTTTTATTCAAATTTAAGCAAAATCATGTCATCAATATAGCAAGCATACCATATACTATGTTATACACTAGTAAATTTGTACAAATCGTATTTCAATAATAATACAAAATACCTATAGGAAAATAATTTGTATATAAAAATAGTAATAATTAAATTAAAGTAGTAAGCACTTACTTTTGGTAAATGTATAATGACATACGCATTTTTAGAATCTTCTAAATTATGTAGATCATGAGGATACTTATTGATTTTTAGTTTTATTATTAAACAATTTAAACAATGTCTCATTTCTTTTTTCCCGCTTATAGTATTAATATGTGATCAAATACATAGTATTTCAAAATAATATATAATAATAATTATAATATTTTTTTAAATTATGTTGTCAATTTGTTTCTTATTCAGAGGGCTATCGTAAAGTTTAGTGGGGCATAGAGAAACTTAAAGAATGGGGCCTTTACAGTTGCAAACCAGTGGGGGTTATGGGATTAACAAAAAAAAGCAATGAATGTTGTGGCCACCTAAAGTTTGAGGCCTGAGGCAAAATAGTCCCAATGTCCCTCCTCTCAACGACACTGCTCATTCAAAAGTAAGTAAACACGAATAATAATAACATATTTACACACAAGCAACTGATAATGTTAACGAAAACAATCCTTTTGTAAACCGATATTAATCCCCTCCTAACAATCAATCGACCGATGATGAGTTATGTCCATGAGTATGTAAATTTCAACTAAACCGCTACGATTAAGCTAATTTTGCTGATACCACACAAAACGCTATGATATATATGCTTTGTACGATATGTTCTCTATACAGTGGGGCCACACAGATTAATACGCTACGTATACTACGTACAATTTTTACTACTACCCCAGCAGTGGCGGCTCATGAGATTCACATAAGGCAGTGCACAAATATTTTGTATGATACCTACCTGAATAAGTGGGTAAAAAATAAAAATATTAATTTTATCATAGGTATGAGTACATATAATGTAATTATCAACATACAATGGCGTATGCGTGGGTTTTCATTTCGGAGGAGGCCGATTATGTATTTTATTTTTGGGAGGAAGGGAAGGAGGAAAAAATCTATTACGAAAAAAATTACTTTAATACTATAAGATTTCTCGACTGTTTTTAAAAAAAATGTCTTATATATAAAGATAAAAATGATAAGTATATCATTTTAAAATACAAGTCTTAGGAGGAATGCGTTATTCTAAACAAAATAAATAGAGAGATGAAAACTGTAAATACAAAATAGTAGAGGGATGCCATCACTCCGTATCCCCTCCCCCACTTCAAGCATTGCGTATATAGACAATTTTATACTCAGTCTGTGGTCGTGGCTAATCGATATAGTTGTAATAAACCTCTGAATACAGCTAGTATAATTAATACATAATTTCAATGTATCAATCTAGTTGAATAATTAAAATATTGTGTATGTGCAATAGGATCATAGTCACAACTTGGGGGGAGCTTGGGTGTGCTTAACACCCCCATTTTCGAAATTAGCACCCCCAAATATATTCATGATAATTTAAATTAAAATACTCACTATTCATTATATATAGAAATATAGTTTTTATTGTATAAATAAATAAATTTATTATTAAAATAATGGTGTTGGAAGTTTGTCCTTCGTCTCTTCAGTCCTAAAACTAAATAATGATAATGGGTAGAGTTACCAGATTTTGAAATCCCTAAACCGGGTCATCATATTGAATGACCTTATTTTTATTTAGATATGAAAACAAAATAATTATATAATTTTGTAATTTAAATACTTTTATTGGCTAATATACTCGTAAAGATACATTATTATTGTATGTTTTATTACGTATACGTATTTTAGGGGGGGGGGGGGAAGGGGGGGGGACCCCCCCCCCCCCCATGAATCCGTATTTAAGGAATCGATCATATGTGAGATAAACATTTCAAATTGTTTTAATGTGGATCATTTTATAGTGATATTTAGTGTCCATACCAGGATACCAAAACTTATTTAAAACGTTATAAGTATAACGTTAAACTATTCAAAAAGCGATTGAAATCAATAACAGATAACGAAACATAAACAAAAAACTATTAAAATTAATATCGAATAACATAACAGAAAACGATTAACGATTGAAACATAATAAAAATTGCCATAGAAAAATATTTATAACTATCAGTAAAATAGATTTGAACATAGTTATTTTTGTAAAATTAACTTAAATTACTAGGTAATGTAAAAAAGATGTTTAAAACTGTAATAAATGTATCAACTAATAAAATACAAATAAGCATTACCAATTATAATTTATAAATATGCTTCTGAATGTCGGATATTGTCGGCGCAGAACCCGTATAACCTGCTTCATCAAAAATAATTTCGGTGAACACCGATGAGCATTAGTAGTAATACACCTTACATAAGTTATAATATTACGTATATATATTATACGTGGTAAGTGCATTTTTTTGTTGTTATACAACAAATATGATTGCTTTATTTATAAGTTATGAATAGAGCCCGGATATTATGCAGTTGAATGTTTGTACTAAGTGTATGCACGTCTATGGAGGTTTAAAATGTCTACGATTCATATCATACCGAATTTAAACACCAAATTTTATATTACATATTTTGCATATTTCTAAGGTTATTGCATATTTATTCATAAATGTATATAACAAGCATATTTAATGGGTTTTTAATAAATTTAATTTTTTTGTATTTTTTTTAAGTTTTCCATTCCTTTTTTTGAGAATAGGTAACTTCAAATAATTTAAAATATTTATTTTTAGTTTTTTTTTATTTTTATTCTCGTTTTCAAGTTTCTTAAAGTTTAAGATTGGTTTAAATTATTTGAAATACAAAGCAGTGGATATTATCATTTATTTTGTTTTTGATAAAATATTTAGAATTTTATTTGGTGTAAAAGTGTGGTTTTTTAAAAAAAAAACACATTTTATAAAGTGTAACATAATGGATATATTAGCATATTTAGATACTTTTTCTTTGCATATTTGCATCATATTTGACACTTTTTTAAGGTGTATAATTCTGGGCTCTAGTTATGTACATAGAATTATGAGAATAACAAAAATAAAATATCGTTTAAGGCAGGGGTGTATTGGTACGTATACGCGGGTATACGGCGTATACCAGTGGCGTATATAGGTTTTCATTTCGGAGGGGGCCGATTATGTATTTGATTTTTGGGTAGAAAAGAAGGAGGTAGCACAATATTACGAAAAAAATTACTTTATCACTAAAAGATTTCGCGACTGTCTTTACACCATTAGAGAAATAAGAAACTCAATATTTTTAATGATTTATTATTTTTTAAAAATATAAAAACTACATTGTAATAAACAAATTTTTTATTAGAGTCACAATTTACCACATATTTTTTTAAAAGAATAAACATACTTCATAAGTATAAAATTTTAAATTATCGCATAAGCAACATTCTCAGTGTCACGACAAATTTTCGGAAACCCCCAGCATTAAGACATATCCATGTTAAAAATAATAATCTTTAAAAATGGCCATCTCGGCCCTCCCCATAAATACGCCCCTGGCGTATACACATCAGCAGATTTTCGATTTTCGGCGTATACCTAATGTAAAATATTATTTTACGAGTATACGCTTCTAAAATAACTCGAAAACAAAAAAACTAATAATAATTTAATAATAAATTAGAAAAAATTGTTATGAACCATAAAACTGATTGAAATATTTAGCTGTTGCAGATTACAGTGTACGCTGTGTTTAATGTATTTTGTTAACTGTAGTGAATAACATTGAATAAAATATTATGGAGTGTGAACATTTAGCCCATGGTTCTTAAATCTGCATCATGCAATTTATAACGCGCTGCAAATGTATATCTTATGGTGTTTTATTTTATAGTCTTAATAGAATTTAAAAACATGTAGTTACAAAGGATTAATTAAATGTTTTCGAACGTATCAAGAGCAAACAATTGTCTATGAATTATGACTAATTCATGTTAATTTTTTATTATGCTTTATTTTTGCTTTTTTTTAAAAAATAAATATGCTTCATTTTTGCTTTTTTTAAACAATTATGTGCTTTTTTTGTTATTTATTATACTTTAAAATCCTAGCCATAATTATAACGTTTAAATGTCCCATAACGGTAAACAATATATATTATTTTGATTTAAGCCCTGGTCCATACTTAGTGAAAAATCAAATAAAACACAAGCGAAACTTTCAGAACGCAGATAGGTGTTAAAAAAATAACTACACAACCGGTATATTTTATGGAATACATAAGTTTTGTCCTCGTTTATTTTATGGAGTACATAAGTAGTCTATTAGCATTACCCAAGAAACACCACGTGGAGGTTGGCTAGTATGTCTCGCAACAATTTTTGTTTTTTGTTACGTTAACAGTCTGATGTAAAAATCATCATAATATTAATTAAATGTACTATTGAATTAGCTTAATTTAACTTA